TTCGAAGTGTCCGCTAACATGCGGTTGACCTGCGACTTGACTAAAATATATTTTGACTATTTTTTAGAAAAATGATTTAACTTAAGAATAATATGTACGATATTTGGTTAACTTGAGAAAAAATAGTTAAATAAATGACACATTTTTTTATTTTTTAGAGAAAGGGACCCAAAAATGAAACATTTGACTCAAAATATAAGTGATTAGAATATTAATAAAAGTAGATTAATTAGAATTTATTTAATTCATTTTTGAAATAATAATTTAAATCAATTTAATACATTAAAGAACGAAAAATCATTTTTTAATTAATTGAAGAAATAAAGTTTTGACTAACCTTTTGAGAAAATGACTAAGTAAGTATTTATATTTTTTTTTTATTAATTGAAAAAAGGTTTGGACTAACATTTTTTAAAATTTTATTTGAGAAAAAATACTTTAACTTAAAAATAATTTTAAAATGAATAAAATGTGATCAAGTGAAAAGCATTAAAGAACCTCTCTTTTAAAGAACAAAAGGTTTAACTTAATTGAAAATATAAAATTTTGAGATTAATAAAATAAATACACAAAAAAAATGTATTAAAATTAAACCAACACAAAGAATAACTCATCTTTTGGGGAATTTAATTAAGCTAATTAACAATTCTAAAGTTAGAGTTAATGATAAGAAAACAAAACAATAAATAAAGATAATTAAATAATTTAAAGGCAAAGGGGAAATGAATTTGGGCTCCCTTTTTTGGGGCCAAACTCTTTGCTGATTTGGGCTTTTGGCTCAATCCCCTTTTTGGTATACAGTTGTTGTATACGAGTGTATATCGGTCGTTTCTTAGCCCTTTTTCCTATATATCAACCCATATACCAACTGTATACAGTTTGTTTTGACGCTTCCAACCTGTATCTTTGTTTTTGGTCACATATTTGACGTATACCACTGTATACAAGCTGTATTTCGGATTAATTTCAAGTTTCCGAAATATGAAAACTCAATTTCCAGCCCGTATCTTGCTGCTTTCAACCTATACACCAGCTTTGCAGATCCGGTAAGGGGAAGCATTGGGCCGAACCAAAGAGAAGATGCAAGGAGAGGGAGTTCGTGATGAACTCCGGTGGATTTCACAACAAAAGAAGAAGGAAATGACTTAGTAGGTAAAACTTTTAAGCGACATAACACAAAATAAAGTAGAAATATCTTATGGTCCTATGAAATTAGTATCAAAACAGGCACAACCATTAATCCGGACTTCAAGCTCATACCGGAAACAAGACCAAGGCTTCAACTTAATCAAAGGAAAATCAATAGCAACAGGGATGTCAGGCAGTCTCATCCCATAAGAAACTCATTTGGATGCAAAGGATCATTCATATTTGTTTGGCATAATACATATATTGACCCCTAAACTTGGCTTCAAATTTTAATTTTGACCTTTAACTTTGTAAGTGCACAAATAGGCACTTTAACTATCCAAAACTTAAACAAAAAAACACTCGGATCCTACCTGGCAAAATGCGTGAAATACACTCAAATTAGGCGCGTTAGATGTAAAAATTCAGGGGGTCAACAGTAAAAAAAGCATTGAAAGGACAATTAAACCCTTTTTATATTTTTTTCTAACAATGTTACCCCTCTTTTTTGCATTATTTGTTGTTTACTACGAAATGCAAGTGACATTTAATAAAAAATTTTGTTATTACAAAAAAAAATTATAATGAAGTTTTTTTTTGGCAAGAAGGAAAAAGGAACACGTGTAGTACTAATTTTTTTTTTTGAGATTCAATCAATTTTTTTGTCTTTGAAATATTTCTAGTTGTTAATTACTGTAATTTATAGTACTTTCTAAGAAATTTTCAAATAATATATATTATTTCATTTGTCCAAATTTATGCGTCACCGGTAAAATTTGAAAAGTCAATCAAATCTTTTATATATTTTTATATCTTTTAAATATTTAAGTAATTAATTGTCGTGATTTATAATATTTTATACAATTATTTAGTATGGTAAAAGAAATTTAAAAGAAACACACATCCTTCAATAGTAAAATATGGGTCCCCCTTTTTCTTTACAGGTTGACCTCCTGCCTGTATAGTCTTTTTTTGTCCAGAAGGAAAAAGGAACACGTGTCGACCCCAAGGTCCTCTCTATTCCCGCTTATTATATTATATACTATTGATGAAGAGCCCGTGCTAATAATTAATTGAAAAGTTAATTTTTAATTGACGTTAAATAAATAGTTTTAAATTTTAAATTTGAATAAATTATATATATTTATATGGTAGTAAACGTTCATGTTAACTCTAAAATGAATACATCACTATTAATAAAGCTTGAAGTTTAAAGAAAAATCCTTAAATGACCAAAATAACCCTTAAACTCAATTTTAATCACAAAAAGCATACATGTCCACGGTGTGGTGGCTGATTCATCAACTAATTTTTTGTATGTTTTTTCAAAAATATTTTAGTTGCTAATTTGTTATAATTTATAAAAATCATTAACGTCATTTTCGAATAACTTATAGTATTGTTAACTTTCAATAATATATATTGTTCCATCTATTCAAATTCATGTGTCACCAATAGAATTTCAAGAGTCAACAAAAAATTTTCTAAAAAAAATATATTTTAATTATGATTTATAGTACTTTTAAATATAACGTATAGTGTGTTTGTAGGCTCTTATTAGATTGAAAAAATATTTTAAATTAGTAATTATTGTAATTAATAGTGTATATTACGTAATTTTCAAATTTGTAATAAATTTTTTTAAATATTAAGTCTAATAATTTATAGTATCTTAAATGTAATCTTTGAATACACATAAATTAAAAAAAGAAATAAGACAAATAAATTATAAATTGAATAATTGACATTTTCAAATATTAATTTACCACAAAATGAAAGTGAAGGAAGAAGTTGTGAGGCAAAAATAAAGAGAAATTATTTGAAAAGGTGTCAAATAGACAGGAAAACGGGCCCACATGCATTGAATAGTTGGCAGCCATTGAGTGGGTCACTAATACACGTGGCAGCGTTTGCATTTCACGCTTTTGGCTCCAAAAATCGCGTGTTTATTTATTTAAAGGTATGATAGTTAAAGTGCCTATTTGTGCATTATGAAAGTTGGAGGTCAAAGTTAAAATTTGAAGCCAAGTTTAGGGGCCAATATATGTATTATGCCTATTTGTTTTACTCCCAAACAAATGGAACTACACACACATTTCCTAAACATAATATTCTTAAATTAACTAGACATGGACAGCAACTAAGGACAGTAGACAAAATTGAATAAAATACTATATAAAAAAAATATACTAAATGTAAGGATCATTTATGTCACAAAAACAGCCATGGTCAAACCACACTTCACTGATTTGGGCAATATAGTGACTTAAACTTGAAAATTAGCTCAAGAACAGTAAGGCAAAACCCTTCGACACTTTCAAAACATGAAACAAACAATGAGTATTATTTGACAAACACGAACGGAGCAATGTCAACGAGGTCAATCAAACAGGCCATACAAACTTAGGGTGAGTATAACAACAATGAATTCGAAAAGAACAAAGCCAACGATGTGAGCTTACACCAATGTTAAATCATCAAGAAAACGAATACATAAGAACATTTTAGTAAAAATAAGATGAAGAGAATACTACAGATCGAACACATCACCCAAGCTCATCTTAGAATCCACAAAGAGCTACTTATCAAACCAACACAATGAACTCAAAATAAACAAAGGGATTACGAGTTGTTTACCTTGTTCGGTGCAGCGAACTGAGACAAACGAACTAGAATGCACTCCTACCAACGACTTCAAGCTTACACAAACTTGGAAGAACGATGAATAGAGTAAGAGAGTGTAACCGAATCCAAAAATTGATCTTACTCTCCGTTCTCAAGTGTGATTCTTTCCGATTTCTATATCTATTCCCCGCCTCTTTACTTTGCAAAACTAAACTTTTTCTAGAAAGAAAAACGTCAACCCCCTTTTTTCCAACCTTTTTCCAACCCCCAAACAAATAAGAAGAAGGGGTATTTATAGGGGAAAATAGGGTTCGGTTGAGGGGGAAAACGGAATGGATTCAAAATTCGAAATTCAAAAATCTTGAGGATAAGGCAGCCAGCTTGAATTTCTGTACGAAAATCGTACAATTCCTCAACGGAACAACGATTTGAGGCGCTTGATTTGAAATAAGGGCGAATGAGGCGTCAAGATGGGGACACGTTGGATTGCTTCGTTGCTGGACTCGGGTCGCGATGCTCGTGATTCTGAGCTGCTGAAATTGCTGGACTTCAGCAATTTTCGCTGCTGGGTTGCAGTGTTTCTGGTGGAGGAGAAGTGTGGGGTCGGTCAGGTATTTGGTGTTGTAATGTATTTGTTGTTGTATGTAATGGATTGGGATTGGGTTATTGTTGAAGAATTAAGGGAAATGGGCTGCTAATATGAGGAAATGGCATTGGGTTGCTGAATAATGGGCCTGTTTTTAATAGGCCCAAAATGGGTCCAAAAATGGGTTTGAGGCAAGGTGAAAAAGGTTATATCTTGGAGTCTAAGAAATAACCAAATTAAGTAAAATTGACAAATTCGGCTAATAATTAGCTGTGACAAATTAATATGATTAATTAATGAACTTCTTAATCTTAACGAAATAAAATAATCGACTTAATTATAAACTAATTAATTCAAAAATGTAAATTATTATATAACTAAACTAATTAGTAAGATATTTAAATAAAACAAAATCTTTTTGAGATGATTTTCGAATATTTATAAAATATAATAAATATATTCAAAATTTTATAGACTATATAAATTAATTTTAAAAAAAAAACTATAAAAATTACAAAATTACTTAAAATGAGTTGAAAAATATTTTAAATTTTATAAAGTCAATTATTTCAAATCGTTTGAAATTTAAGAAGTTCGATGATTAATCTATATTATGGAGGTCCAAAATTGGGTGTCAACATGGCCTCGAAGGTTGTGTCTATTATTCATAAAGGTTATGTTCAATAGACACAACCTTAGTTTTTTCATCTTGAAAACTCTCAAGAACACAAGCAAAGACCCATCTTGTTGAAGTATTCCCCAAAGGCGCAATTGGGACCTGATCAAGCTGCAAGTGTCATAGTTGTCTTAGGAGTTATACTTCCGTGCTTACATTGTAAATTTGTTTGTAATCTATGAAGTATTCAAATCTTTTGTTCGGTTTGTAAAAGTCCAAATCGGTTAGAGTTAACTAATTTAGTGGGCAGTTTTGTATCTCCTTAGTCAAATTCTAAGTCATCTAGGAGTTAACTGATTTAGTGGGCAGTGTGGTATCTGCTTAGTTGAAATTTAAGTTGTCTAGGGTTGACAACTTAGTAGGCAGTGTGGTATCTGCTTAGGCTCAGTAAGTAATTGGGTTATTACTTAGCTTTGAGATTAATGGCTTAATCTCATTTGATGTTGTATCTGTGTTTCACCTTTGCTTGAGAAGATTAGTGAAAACAGTTGGAAAATCCTGTGTGACAAGTCGTGGTTTTACTCCCTTGAGCAAGGAGGTTTCCACGTAAAACTCTTATGCCTGTCTTTATATTGTGCTATGTATTTCCCGCATCTTTACTTTAGCTACTGTTCTTGCTGAGTCAAGGGACCTGGTCCGTTGACTGATAGTGGACCCATACATTCCAACAAACTCTTCTGGCTGTTGGATCAGACGAATAGTACTCTTTCTTCACTTCAACATCTTGTTCATGAGATTTATGAGTCCCATCGATCATTCCTTCCAAACTACTTGAAGGAATCCCATGATTTATCAGTTGGAAAAATCCCCATTTCTCAGATGCTTCCCTTATTTCATCAACAATCTTCTTACGCCGATCTTCAACCTCTATGCCACTTAGATCCACGACTGGAACCTGTAGAGTTGACTTGCACATATTCAACTCATCAGCAAGTTCATGAGGTGGCCTAATGAAAAGTCTTGGAATCTCGTCTATTCCAGAGTCAACTAGTCCCTTAACACCAACTTTTGTATCATCAATAGCCTTTCTCTCATCCGATGGATCATAATCCATTTCAATCTGAATTGATAGCTTCTAGCTAGTTCAACGGACAAGATGGTTGCACTCCAAAATGGGATGATAGTGGTCAGCAGACAAGCTCGTTCTGATCTTGAGCAAGTACATAGAAATTCTATGGTACATTATCATAACAATCAAGATGTGAGACCAATTCCTCCTAATTATTAATTGATTGATCAAATAAACATGTAAAGTCAGCTAAATATCCTTATATAACAAGTTATTGTGGATCCTTTTGGATACTGTTAATCAATTATACCAGCCATTTATAGTTCTCTATAACTATAGTCGAAAATTAATGAAGTTTGACTTCACTAAATTAATTTATCAATTATATATTATGATAAATGTACATAAAAAGTTTTAAAACAAGTAAATGTACATAAAAAGTTTTAAAACGAGTTGAAATTGAAAATTAAATTTACAAACCGCTAAAGTGAGATGAAGAGATCTAGAGCAAGACAATAATAATTAAGTAAGAAGAACTTACAAGTGGATATCGCCAGAGAAATAGATGAATATTACTCGGAGATGAAATGATTACTTATACTAGTATACATATCCGCGCGTTGCGAGGATATTTTAAAATATAATAATTTTTAAACTTAAAAATAATTAATATGAATTATTATTATTGAGTAACAAAAGTGCATGTATATAACAGTAGGATATAGTTTTAAAAATTTTAAATTAATTTTCTATAAATAATTAATATATTTTTTATAATATTAATTAGAAAAAGTTTAGACATTATAAACGTCACCAACATGATATTATGAATATAACGTGAAAACATACATGGTAATTCATTTCAAATCAATTTTAATTCAAAATTTGAAAGCAATGATATCAAAAATACATGTGGAGAGATTTTATATGATAGAATGAAAATTTTGAAATGATAAAATAAAGTTGATCAAGATGAAAATCTAAAAATAACACTTTGCAAGTTATCATTCATTATATTGAAATCTTCTGAGCTTGTTAAATTGCTAAAGAAATAAGAATTACAACACAAATTAAGCTTGACTATATACGTTCTCACTAATCTACATCCTAAACTTTTATCAACGTGAATCTCATTCATTTTATTCCATTTGCAAATGTAATTTCTAGTATAGTAAGATAAGCCATATATTTATAAAATTGTCCATATGTCTTTTATTTTGTATGTACAATTCAACGTTAGCTTTAATATTATATTTTATTTATACTATAATAATTTTACATTATGACAATTTAGTTTACACGATTATTAAAAGATATAATAGGGAATACTTCTTATTCTAAGTTAGCCTATATATTAAAATAAATTATTATTTTAAAATTATTTAATTTATTATTTTGGCTAAAGAGGAATTATTATTTTTTAAATTCAATTTATTATTATAATTTATAATAAATAATAAATTTGAGTTATTAAATTTTAAAAAAAGAAGAAGAAATTT